TCCTTCCCTCTCCCTCCTGCTCCCCCTTCTCCCATCCTCCTCCCCCTCCTCCTCCTCTTCCTCCTCCTGCTCCCCTCTCCTCCCTCTTCTCCTCCACCCTCTCCTCCTCCTCCCCGCCTCTGGTATTTTTCAGCCCTCCAAGAAAATTAAAACATTTCCCTTTGACAGCTTCTCTCTTGCATTTTCTTGGTTGCCAATGTCCAGCATCTTCTGTTGTCATAAATATTCACAACGTCTCTCCCCTCTGGGGGTGGAGGAGTGCTACCCTAGCTACATTCCCAGCTCATCATTTGTCCTGTTTCAGCATCTTTTTCAGTTAATGAACACAGCTTAGGAACATTTATAAGTTTCGTTCAACATTCCAATCTGTTTCAATAATCCTTTCTGAATTTTCTCAAGTAAGCAAGGGGTGGTTAAGTGCTTCCAGGCCTGTGGATGCTCTCCTGGGGGTATCTTGAGGGAAATGCTGAATCTTCTTAGGCTTTTCCTGAAATCCAGCTCACAGTCTCCCAAGGGCACGTTCTGCAGCCCCGCCATGCACACTAGGTCTGCTTATCTGAAAATAATGCTAGACATACTCAAGGAAAAAAGACTTGCTCGCTGAGACGTTTCATCCTCATCTTTGGCAGAAGACCTGGTGATTCACGACGCCAAGGTGACTTATAAACAGCCACAGGCAAGACCCAGCCCCTCTCATCCGTTATACGACTCCCTAACTTTCTCGCCTTAAAACTTTGTAAATCAAATGAATTTCTTCTTCCATCCTTTTTCTCTTTTCTCTTTCTTCTCCCCTTTCTGAAACCCTGCCCCATCTTGGGGAACCAATTTAGTGATTTATATTTCCTTGTAAGAAAAAATATATTCCAATTAGCATTTTTCCTTAGTTTTATTGATATTATTGACAGGAGGCACTGTGTAAGTCTATATATCATTATATATATATATATATATATAATTAAATATATATATATAAAAATATAAATATATAAATATAATATATAAATATATATAAAATATATAAAATATATAAAATATAAATATATATAAAATATATAAAAAATATATATATGTAATTAAAATAATGGGAAAAAATTGTTTCCTTGTGATGAGAACCCATAGGATTGAGTCTCTTAACAACTTTCAAATTACTATCGTTATCATGTTGTACATGACATCCCTAGTACTTATTTATCTCATAACTGGAAGTTTGGTACCTTTTGACTCCCTTCATCTAATTTTTCTATGGGTTTGTATATTTGTTTGTTTTTGAAATATAACTGAGCTACAGCATGAGTTCCTGGTACCCAGCAATAGTGACCTGATATTTCTAAGCATTTCAAACCGGTCACCCCAGTAAATCTGGTTACCATCTGTCATCATACGAAGATATTACATTACCATTGACTATATTTCCCCACATTTTAGTTTTCATACCGATGACTCATTTTCTTGCAACGGAAATGTCTTTTGAGCTCACGGTGTTGCACACATTTGCCATTGGTTAAATATCGGAGCAATGTCATCCTTAACGCCCATCAACTGCAGACTATCCTAATTTTGTTGGCTATTTGAGAGCAGTAACACATTGTAACAAGTCCTGATACCAACATGAGCACATTGCCAGAATTAGTCTAACATGTATGAGATTATATATACATATATATATATATATATGTATGTGTGTGTATATGTGTGTGTGTGTATGTATATATATATAAGTTTTGGTTCATAAAATGAACTCTTTGGGGAGGAAATACTGCCTGAATTTCATTGGGATGGTTTTTGTCTTTTGTACGAACACCTGTGTTTTCTGAATCGCAGCTAATGGAAGGGAGCTGTGTGTACCTCTCCCCTTCCCAAAGGGTGCTGAAGGCATGCCTGCAAAAAAGAAAAAAAAATACAATACACACAAGGGCTGGCATCCCAGAAACAACAAAGCCAACCCGCTCAGAGGTTCTTTCCACTTTGGCCTTTCCATTAGCTTGACTGCAGAGGCGCATTTCATGGAAGAAGAATGAGTGACGTCTTCCGCGCTCAGCAGCGGGGAGCTGAGCATTGGCAAAGCTGTGGTTGCCACACTAGATGGCTCTCTACCCGCCACAAAATGACACACACACCCATCTCACGGTGGAAAGACTGAGTTGCACTTTTTTTTTGCTCCTAAGATCTCTCAGCTGATCGACATGGTCGATGGAAGTGGTGAGAGAGAAAGCATCCAGCCTCCAACAGCCAATATTTCATTTTTCACAAATCGGTGCTGGTGGAGGCTATTGTTGGAACGAGATGTCTCCTACCAAGGATTCTATGCAAATTTGATTTTCTTTTTCTCTCAGCGTCAGGATTTCATTATTCCAGCTCAGGATGAGTGAGCACATGTGTCTTGAACCACAGCTCTGTGAGACCTCCTGGGCCAGCATCTCCAAAGAGCTTGAGCCCAACAGGGTGGAAAGAAAGTAACGGGGTTCTGTGCAGGGAGCGGGTGCCTCCCTGAGCTGCAGCATTTACAGAGGGATGATTGCTTCTGCTGTGTGATCACGAAGGGCAGGATGTTGCCGGAGGAGGCAAAAAATCACTTCTGGGTGTCCACAGACACCCTCGGAAGATATAAAGGAAACAATGGAGGCATACTGATAATGAAAGGCAAAGATTTCCAGGTTGAACTCTTCAGGACAACCCAGGTGGATGAGAATTATTCGGATACGTTAAAGTGAATTTGACGCTTCTGAACTCATCACGGCAGACACTTCCTTTTTATTTTTATGCAGGTGAAATTCACATAACTGAAAATCAATTGATCGAAGACAACAATTCAGTGGCATTTAATACATTCACCATGTTGTGCAACCATCACCAAGCCATCAAAGTTTCAGAATTTTTTCATCACCCTGAAAGGAAATCCCACGCTGACTCCAAGGAACTCCCCCCATTCTCCGCAGGGCTAGGAAACCACTGATTTTTCTGTCTCTTTGGATTTAACTATTCTGGACATTTCATACTGATGGAGTCCTGTAATGTGTGGTCTTTTGTGTCTGGCTTCTTTCACTTAATATCATGTTTTTGAGGTTCACCCATGTTGTTGCTGGTATCAGAATTTCAGTCCACTTTATCGCTAAATAGTATTGCAGTGTATCTATATATACGCCACAATTTTCATTGCCTTTTCCGGTCTTGGTGAGGTGACCCTAGGCCCTGGCTTGCCTGGGGTGATCCCAGTTTACACCTGTGCCCATGAACGTATGCAAACATCCTCCCTTTTCAATCTTTCAATCTCAGTTTGACTGTTAAATTACATGCTCATTCCACTTCATGCAAAATCACAAAATCAAGTGTGGGTTTTCTTTTCATTTTCCTGCCAACAGCTCTGATCACCGTGGCCAAGGATTCCTTGAGACCTTCTATGACAGCCATGAAATTCATCTTAATTAACAGGAGTGTGGATGAACACCAGGGAAAACCAGGGGAAGCCTGGAGGGGGTTTGAGAAGCAGCACCAGCCGAAAACATGGAGAGGGGCCAGGGCAGGATTTGGACATATTCCTTTACATACTGTGAACACCTTCACGGCATTGCAAGCTGGCTGGAAGGTGCTGTGAGACTCTTAACAAAACTTCTGATTTGAACACAAAGATGTGCTATTTGGGGCTGCATTTGGAGGTACTCGTGGGATTCTGCTGTCCCTGGAGGAGTAAGAGGTTTTCGTTCTCAGGTGCCAGTCTTCCACCGCTGTTGGAAAGAATGCGAGGCGGCTACTTGATAGGCCTAGTCCTACCTTTGCAGTTATGAAAAGGTGGGGTCTTGTCTTCAGGGAGAACCACATCGTTTACTTAGACCGATGTGTGTCATGCTCTGCTTTATGGCGTGTCCCCGCGCTGGTTTCTCTGGAGAATGAGAATATTTCATCTCTGCTCTTCTGGTCATGCTTACGCTTCCCGGGGCTGAAGGATGGGGCTGAAGAACTCCTCCTGCAATGAGGTGGTATCGTGTCACTGTAAAGCTCCCGACAGACTTGACAAAAATGATTTTCTACTGTGCGTTGTCTTTGCCCGCATTGCTGAATCTCTGTGGCTCTTTACTGCAGACTCCGCTGAATTCTAATTCCTCCGGAATTACAAAACTTCTTCTTGGTGTATTGTTATATCCATTCCTTCACTGAGCACCTTCCATTCGTTAAAAAAAAAAACATTAAAATCGAATTTTGCTTGAAATTATTTCATGGAAATTTAAGACAGTGTGTTTGGTAGACAGAATTGGACATACCAGAAAGTCCTTAATTTTATGGAGCAAGGGAAAAACACTTAATTGTGTTTATGAACCTGGCTAGGATTCCACACAACAGAAGACCTAAATGTTCCATTTTTAGGTCTGTCTGGAAACGGACGTTTAATGAATTAATGATGGTTCAGTTGAACCCGTCGCCTGCTTAACAGCTCACTCAGGAATTTATGGGCATAAAAAGTCTTTTGCGTGTTACGTGGGATCAGAAACAGCCCAGAGACCTACGTATCTCCATCAGCCTCTGTCCTTGGATGCTGAGGGGCGGTGAAGACCCCATACCGACCCCAAGCATTTGAAGACTTGGGGGAGACGCCAGAGAAAGGGTCTGCTGAGAAAAGTGCGCTTGGCTACGGCTCATTTTAGGAGAGATACAACGCCATACCCTGAATCTTGCTGAAGTCAAGGGGAGTGAAACCTAGACTCGCTTTGTTAGCAAATGCTGATGCCGGGTGCTGATTATGACGTAGGCCAAGGGTGCCAACCGGACAGAGTGATACTGGGACACGTTACATGGTTCTTGGTACCCAAAATTAAAGCCTGGGGGAATTTTTTCTCCCTGTCTTCCACCCATTATCAGTGATTCTCAATCCATAGTGATTCTGTTCCCCCAAGGGACATTTGGCAACGTCTGGGAATATTTTGGGTTTTTCACTAAATGGATGATTCCGCAGGAATCCAGTGTGTAGAGGCCAGAGACACTGCCAGGCAGCCTACAGTCCCCGTCGCAGAGAATGATCGCTGGCCACAAACGTAGAGTCCTTCTGCAAACCTTAGACAAAGGCAAATCCGTTTTGATCCAGATAAAGAAGAAACTGACAGTAGATGCAAGTAAAAGTCTCGTGAGAGGTCCTGGAAACGTTCAGCCCTTTGGGGTAGCATTTCTTGGGTCTTATGTTCAAATGACAAACCCACACTTTTGTTTCTAGAGTGCACTGCTGTTGACTTCTGTCCCTACGCAGCTTGGAAAATAGAGGGCAATGAATTTATGCCAAGGGTATGGGAGGATTTTAGCCCTGTTGTTTTTGAAGTTTGCTGAAGCTGTGTTTGTTCTCCAGCTGAACAAACAACTTCTAAAGTGGGTCCGACAGTTCGAGTTTGTTTCTGCGTTGGGAGCCCCACTCGGGCGAGGGGGGGTGCGGGGATGTCTTACTGCGTCTCTCAACAGTTTAAAATGTAACAAAGGTTGGGAAAGAAACCCCGTAAAGTCTGTTTTTGTTATGGTGCGGGGAAGAACAATCACGGGAGAGCTTTCAAAAGGCCAACTCCAAAGCCGAACACGTTTTTGATTTCCTTCGAGAAATCATGAAGGAATGGGGCAGGCTGGATTAGTAGGCAAACCAGACTGGTTCTCAGAACGACGGAGGGCGGGCAGGGCTGGGTGTCGTGTGCACCTTGTCATGTGGTGTCCCTCCCCACCACCCACCTGCCCGCTGTCCTGGGGGCTTCAGCCCCCTCACCAGCTCTTACTCTCAGGGCAGAAGCTGACCACAGAGCCTGGCCACCCGCTCAGAAGGCTGGGTTCTGTGTTTGCTCTACACCCAGCAACGATTATTACTTTTTCTCCCAAGAAACGTGTATTATGGGTCCTGCAGGTGGGAGGCAGGCTCTAAATGGTTCCAATCATGCTCTTCTCTGGAGAGTCAGGTCCCTGGATAATCTACTCCCCCTGCGTGTGGATGGGACCTGTATTTTGCTTCTAACCAAGAGAACAGGACAGACGTGATGAGATGTCACTTCTGTGATGAAATGACGTTAAGACGGTGGCTTCCGTCTCACAAGCAGATTCTCTGTATGGATGCCCACCGTCGTTGGCTTTGATGAAACCTGTTGACACTTTGAGAGCTGCCCTACGGGGACGTCCACAGGGCAGGGAACGACAGCCAGCCAGCCAGCCAGGAAAGTAGGTCCTCAGTCCAACAACCCTTAAGGAAGTGAATCCTGCCAACAGCTGCATGCATGAGCTTGGAGGCGGATCCTTCCGTAGAGGGAAGCCCTTCAGATGAGCCTTGCTTGTGGCTCTGTGAGAGCCTCATCAGAGGACCCGGTTAAGCTGTGGCCACGTTCCTGACCCACAGAAGCCGTGAGATAGTAAACGTGTGGTTTTTTGTTTGTTTGTTTGTTTGTTTTAAGGCTTTTGAGCGTGTGATGACTTATTACCCAGCAGTGGCTAACATGAGCCCTAAGCCAAGCATTCTGCTGGACCCTGTGATCGGAGCGCTGAAAAAAGGGCCTGCCCTTTCCTTCAATACATGGTTGGTTCCCCCAGCAACCAGCCCCCATCCTTAGGTGCTTCCCAAAGGCCACCTCATTGACATAACAAAAGACTCCACCCTGGTTCCCCTCACAAGAAATTCCAAGGGTTTCAGCAGCTCTATACCAGGACCCAGGGAAGAGCAAATACATATTTCTTTTTTTAGAAAATTGAAGTACGGTTGATTGTGCTCATTTCTGGTGTATCGGTCATGCAGGGAATAGCAAAGGAGGGAAGTGTGGTCCCAGAGTTGCGCCTGAGCGTCTTCCAAAATAGGATGGTTGTGCTCTAGTGATTTACAAAATGAAAATACCTTTGTTATTCCCTGTGTGGCCGATGCACCTTCCATCTTTATATACTTTCATCTGTCAACAACCCTCAAATTTACATCAGCATCTTTGCCCCAGACTCACATTATCCAACTGGCTCCTCAGCATCTCCACTTGGATGCTTCGTGGATAAGTGATTAACATCCGAGTTCACGGGCACTTTGTTCGGCAAGTCCAGTGCTGGACACTTGATCTTCTCTGTAACCCTCTCCATCTCTGCCCAAACCTTTGGAGTCAATATTTATTCTTCTCTTGTGTGTCCTGCAATCAGTGGTTAAGAAATCTGATTCACTTTCCTGTCTGTATGACTTTCCTAAGGCTGTCACATAAAAGTACCACCGTCTGGGTGGAAAAACAACAGAAAATGTATCCTTTCACGTTCCTGAAGTCCAGACACCCAAGATCAAAGTGTGAGCTGGACGACACTGCATTCGGAGGCTCTATACGTGGGTCCTTCCATGCGTCTTCCAACTTCTGGCAGCTCCAGGTGTTCCTTGACTTCTAATACAACACTTTAATTCTTTGGCCCCTCCTTATCCTTGGAGCACACACTTCAAGATGCCTATAACCATGAATAGTACCAAACCCTCTATATGGATGCATATACACTTATGATAAAGTTTAATTTATAAATTAGGCACAGCAAGAGAATGTCTAAATTAACGGCATCACTAGTCTTGTGTTAATTTCACCATGGGCTCAAAATGTGCCACCCATGACACGCTACGTGAATATATATACACACACAACAAACACGGCATCAGATTTCCCCTGAGCTCCAGATCACAACCAGACAGCTGCAAAGCCATCGTCCCCAATTCCATGACTTCCTCCTCTTTTTTGTGGCTGTGGTTCTCAGCAGGAGCACGGGTCTTCAGTTTCGTTCTGGTTTTCTCAGCATCGGAGCTGAACATGAGATCAGATGGCCTCGCAGAGGTCAGTGTGTTTGGAGAGGCTCTCACGGAACTTATTTTGTGTTTTTGGTACATCCCGGTGTGTTTAACCGCACGGTACTGGAAATAGCATTTACGGAGGGATGGCTAGACACTCACGGTCAGTAACCAGGATTGAAACATCATCATCCAGGTGGTGCCAAGCCCTTGGCCACATTTCGGGGGAAGATCAGGGTCGCTGGCCACAGATGGAGCAAATGTCTAAGTTTCTATAAACAAAACAGAGCAAAACAATGCATCGAAAAAATGTAAAAAGTACAAGAGGGAAAAAAAGGATGAAAATGAAATCATTAGATCTGTTGAAAGAAGCACCGCAAAGTAATGCAGAATCTGGGAATATGAAGTAATATCCCCACCCCACCCCCCGTTTTTTTTTAACATTAGGTCCACGGATTTCTTCCGGTAAAGTCTGGTGGAGCTGTTGAGACAAATTCTTTGGCTTCAAGTTGACTTTGTGTTTCATCATTGTTTCCTTTCAATGTGATTTTTTTTTAAGGTCTTCATGAATGCTGAAGAACCACTGGTAAGTTCACATGAGGCGAAACCAATAGAGGGGATCAGAGTTTTGCAGCATAACCAACCACGACATGTGCCTTACTTACAAGGTTCTGTGGCTCAACTGGATGTCTCTCCGGAAACGAGACAAAGTCCACTCTCGCACGCATTCCATTCTCTTAGCATCTGCCACTTTGGTTCGTTACTGCGTAGTATCCTTCAAAGATATATTTTTTATTTTTATTTAATTTTTATTGTCATGAAGAAGGCCACCCCAGGCAATAGATTTTTACAAGAAGAGGGGGAAAAAAGTCAAAGAAATGCCATTAAAACGAGTTCTATCCTCCAGACAACTGCCTTTTCCAACAATCCACGCTAAAACGTGGTAGCTAGGGCGGGGCAGTGGGGTGCATGCCTCATGTGAGGGACGGACTTTGCTTTTAACAGAAAACTTCTTATAAATCACGTGTCAACTTTTTGTTGTTGTTGGTGGAGGTACTGGGGATGGAGCCCAGGGCCTCATGCATGCTAAGCATGCGTACTTTTTTTTTTTTTTTAGAGCTAAGAGAAGTTGTGAGCATAAGGCAATTACTTGCATGATGACCATTTGACATGAGGGTACCTGTGACCCTTCTGGCAGGAACAGGAAGGAGAAAATGATTCTTTAGACCAAAGCTGGAGGCGGGGGATTTACACCTTCCGCTTTCTTGTGGAAACGCCACCATGTTCCCCTCTCTGTTCCCTTCCTATTTCTCACTCTTCCAGGTGAGACAGGTCGAATGCAAATGGCTCAGCATGAAAGCACAGAGTTGAGTCTGATTCTGCCTGGTAACAACACATTCAGGGATCTCCCACTGTCTCCAGCAACTGTGGAAGTGTCACCGAGCAAAAGTTTGTGTGCCCAACACAGAGAGGTCAAGCAAATGGTAATGTCAGAGTTTGGAGCAGAGAAAAATTGATTGCAGGGCTGAGCAAGGAGAATGGGTGGCTTGTGCTTGGAAAATCCTGACCTCCCTGTGGTTTTCAGGGAGAAGTTTTTAATAGGCAAAATGTGGGGTGGGGGCTGCAGGGGTGTGAGCGTCTTCTGATGGGCCGGTGGGGAGGCACCAGGACGGGGCTCCAGGAATCCTGGGCTCAGCCTGGAGGCGCCGTCCTCAGTTCCTGCAGGAGAACTCGGCCGCATTGTTCTGGATGTGCCTTGAGGGGGAAGCAGGACCCTCCCCAAGGCTGCACTCTTGTTCCTTGAATGACCTTCCTTTGTTTCTGCGTACCCTCCCTTCCCTGGTTAATCACTGTTTGAATCTGTCCTTTTGGAACTCAGGGAATGTCCAGGAGGCTGAAACCTTTTTCCTACAAACAAGAATCGGGGATGCAGAAAGGCTTTTGAACAAGGAGCAAGCAGGGTCCTGCTCAGGTTCAACAGGACGTCCACCCCAGGCATTTGGCTAAGAGATTGCACAGATAGAAAAACTGGTACCCTTTTCTATAACTACGTGAACACAACCCTTGCTTTCCTGTTCCAGGATAAAGTCACTGTTAGCTTTCTTGTATCTTCACGATGGGAGGTCCATTCTGCAATGAATCAGGGTACAGCTGAGGTCAGACACACCTCCTCCTGGACCACCCCGTTGGAGATGAGGCCTCATCTTCCTTCCCGGCCCTGGTTCCATGGGATGCTCCCAGGCCCTGGAGAACCAGGAATGCCCCCAGGTCCTGGAGGGCTCGTGCCTGAGTGGTGGCACTGGTCAGCAGTTCGTTTAGTATTTGGTCTTACACCATGCAGAGCTGTCCATCCAGGCAGCCTGGAGGTGAGAGAGGTCCAGGGTGAGATTAAGGACACCCAGGGCCAAGCGGGGCTTCTATCTGGGGCTGTTGTGAGGCGTTTTGGGGAGAAGGCAGAGGTGACCAGAGTCTAGTTCATCCCTCATGGTACAGATGGGACCTGCTCTCCGCCCAAATGTCTGTGTCCCCCCAAAATTCCTATCTTGAAACTATGAGATAAAATTCATATTTTATGGCAAGACAAAAATAATTTAAACAAAATTTTCCACACAATTTAAAATTATGCATTAACCAGACCTCCCCCGTAGGCAGGAACCCCTGCTCAGCCCTCAAGAGCGACCTTCTCCCAGCATCAACAAGACAGCTACTTAAAGAGAGCGTTCCTTCTGGAGCTTGTAAGGGGTCACAGGACCCACCAGGACGACGCTTAGACCTGGGTTCTGTAAACTGTCAATAATACGTCATTTGAAGCACAGCCCTCTGTGTCAAAAAAAATTATATAACTGAGCCTTGATTTCTAATGGGTGGAACAGATCTCAGACCTTTGTGAGATGCTTTTCCTGGGTTATAATCCCCAAATCTGCCTCGAATGAAATTTTCCACCTCTTTCTTAGATCGACTGATCAATTTTTCATCAAGAAAACCTAACCTCCAATGTGACGGTGTTAGGGAATGGGGCCTCTGGGATGGTGACTGGATCAGGACGGCAGTCATGAACACTCTTAGGTTTTGTCCTGGGGGCATGCAAACTAAACTGACAACTGACAGGTAAATGGGATTAAGTTACTTAGAAAGGAGACCCCAGAGAGCTCCCACAACCCTTCCTACAGCCACGGGAGGACACACGGGGGTCTATGAACCAGGACGTGGCCCCTCCCTCACCAGGCACTGAATCAGCCAGCATCTTGATCTCAGACCCCCGCAATCCCACTCTCGAGTATATATCCACAAAACTCAGTCATTTGAAAAGATACATGTCCCTCAGTGTTCATGGCAGCACTAATTACAATAGATACAGAGAACAGACTAGTGGGTGACCAGTGCAGGGGGGGGGAGGGGCAAGATGGGGGAGGGGGAGTCAGAGGAACAAATTATTAGGTATAAAATAAATAACGATGCACTGTACAACACGGGGGATGCAGCCAATATTTTATAATAACCTTTAAAAATTGTGGATCGTGGTATTGTGCACCTATAAGTTACATAATAGTGTCCATTGACTCTACTTCAATAAAAAGAAGGGGGTCGCGGTCAGGGCCCCCTCCCTCCACCTCGTGGAACCGTCGGGGGGTTGCCAGTTCCCAGGGGCCCGCGGCACGCTGTTTTGGACGCTGTCTCTTTCAGGTAGCTGAGGATGGCACCTACTTCTGTACGTTTTCAAACTCCGTGCTGCACCGGGGGGCCACCCTGACCGTGAACGTCACCTCCGAGGGCCGCGAGTTCCAGGGCACCCTGACCTTCTGTAACTCAGGTGATGCCGCCTCAGCCGGCTCCCTCCCGTGTCTGCACAGTGAGCGGCGTCCTTGTCGCCAGCGGGGCGCTGGTGGCGGCGGTGCAGACGGTGAGGACGGGGGTGCGTGTCTCCCCAGGCAAGGAAGGGTCTGGTGCCGTGAACTTCTCCTGCCTCATCTACGACGTGCGCTTCCTGAACTGCAGCTGGGCGCGGGGCCCGGCCGCCCCTGCAGACGTGCGGTATCACCTCTACATGTGGGCCTCCCTGTAAGCTGGTCGCCTCGGGGGCCTGGGAGCCAGCTGGGAGGTCTTGATGGGGGTCAGTGTTCAATAACCTGGGGACCAGAAAGGCTTCCTCCTGCACCCGGTTTGGGGTTGGTGGAGGGCAATCTTTGTAAAATGTCCAAACATCCAAAGGGAAAAAAAAA